ATTGACACGTGACAGAAAATGAAAACTTATTGGGAAGACAGGTAGTCTTGGAGCAAATAATTGTTCTATCACCTTTTTGCTCTTGAGTGTAGCACTGGTTGAGTGCATTATGATAATACTGTCAACCTTGTGCATGGCGCCAAATCTCTCTGATGTTGCTTCCTTTGAACTTGAACATTCCTGCAGTTCTAAGTGTTTCATTGACTGGGTCTATGAGTCTAAACTTCTATAATTACATCATATCTCTGAGGTGGTGAAGTTGATGAAGGATGTGTTCTATTTGACTACGTATTGATAATGAGTTTATGCATGTTCTGTTAATTATTCTAATATAATTTGAGATGTAGTTTCTTCTCCTCAACCCCCTCATGTCTTTCTATGTCTACCTATCTATAATACACTGCGAGAGTCAAGTGTCCTTCTTGCTCATAGATATTTCATCTGCTGCAGCTTGGCATCCATCCAAAAGAAGACAACCCCACCCCACAGGAGGCATGGGATCAATTGGTCAATCGGCTGTCATTTTTGTTCTCAAATGAGGTGTCTGGTTTACTACAAGCTATTTTGAAATGTTTGATGTTAGGCAGAGCAGACTTATATTACCTTTTCGATACACTTCACATTAAACTGCCAATGGCACCACTTACAACCTTGATTAATAAAATTAAGAATGAACAAACACACATACACACCACAATAACAACTTTAACTGTTAATAAGGGCTGATGAATTTATTGTAGTTGTTCTCCCATACTATCAAGCTAAGAAAATAATTGACTTACCATTTGCTAACCCTCCCCTTTTAATTTGATGAAGTTCCTTTCTTCAGTGCATCCTGTGAGCTGTCACCTAAGAGATGCACTACAGAGAGATGGTGATTTTCGTGGTTTTCTTCCAGTATCTACAATTGCCGTCTTTGATTCAAAGGTTTGTAGCTTGTGCAAATGCATAAAACCTGAAGTTGAGTCAAATCTTTTGTTGGTCATGGAACTTATAATCAGGGCAGCTGAAAAATTATCCGGTTCTTTGATCTTGTCTGAAGACCACCTTTCACTGAAGAAATTGAATTCATATCCTCCTGAGATTGAGCAGCCTTTATCAATATCTGAAGCCAGTATGGTTGAAAGTATTCCAGTTGAGGTGATACGTTTACCATCTTCAGTCAAGAATGCTGTAGAACCTTTGACCCTTAATGTATCTTTCAGTGGATATTACCTGGATGTTATTGCATGTGAACTAGGCTTAAGGGACGCTTCTAAGGTTCTGATTTCTAGGTGAGCTTTCTAGCAACTCAGCCAATTGCATATTATTGTTATTTATTACTCCCTCCATCCCCCTATTATTGTCCCAGTTCCTATTCACTTGGTCAACACAAATCACTCTTAATCTCTTACTTTATATATCAAATTTTTATCAAATTTGATTCTGTTTTTTTGCGACTTTGTAAAGCTTATAATGTAGTTTCTGAATATGTAATTTTTTTCCCTAAAAATAATTTGTGTGCGGACAGGAATCTGTTTGCTTTATCATCAGTCAAACATCGTAAACCGTAATGGGACAATAACAGGGGGACAGAGGTAGTAATAGATAATTGTTTTCTCGAAACGTTATTCCTTGAGATTATTTTATTATGAAGGAAAATATGTTCATAAAATTGCGAAATTTGATGATATATATAAAGAAAGACCAACTCTACTTGTTCAATGTGACATGATGATCCGTGCAAGTTGCAAGTTTCTCCTTTCTTTCATGCTTTTGGCGATTTTGTTGTTTTTACTAAAACAATATTTACCTTGCAGGCCTATTGGGAAAGCTTCCTCAGAGACAAGATTATATTACCGTATTCCCATTGCTACCACACTTAACCAATCATCTAAGTATCATATCAATCAAACTGGTCATCATGAAGCAGAACTTAATGTAAGGGCAAGTTACTTATGCGGGCAAGAAATATATGGCGATGCCATTTTAGCATCTCTGGGATACTCATGGAGGTCTATAAGTACACAGCTTCATCTTTTTCATGAAGCTTTGTCCATACGTACATATTATAGGTACAAACGTTGGCTTCTATCAAGTTTGCATCCGCCTAGCTCTTCTGAAATTAATCTTTAGTACATGGTGCATGTGGGCCTTGCCGCACTGCACAGAATGAGTCTTCCTGTATCTTAAGTTATCACTTTAGAGATTTCTGATTCTTTTATTTTTCAATATTTCTCCCTCTCTCTTTGCACAGGTTGCTTGCGTATAAGATGCCTCGGGGAATTTACAAATTATCAAGGGATGCATTACTTGCAGCAGAACTGCCCACTATATTCACAACACGAAGCAATTGGAAAGGTTCCTTTCCAAAAGAAATTCTCATAGTATTCTGTCGCCAGCATCGACTATCTGAGCCTATCTTTCTATGTAAATCCTTTGAATCACAACCTGCTTTGCAGGAATCACCTGGGTCGGGTGGGCAGAAAACAAATGGAAGTGATCTTGATGGGTCATCAACAAAACCAATTGTGTCATATAAGTGTGTACTCAAGATCACATCTAAGTGCCAGGATTTGATTATACAGTGCTCACCTAAGGAGTCTTTTAAGAAAGAGGCTGATGCAGTAGAGACTACTGCCCTGAAGGTCCTTTCATGGTTGGATTTATTTTTTGTTAAACTTGATGTGTCTGCAGAAGATGTGACATCTGCCTCCAAAGATCTTGATATCCTTATCTACCCTCAGAACATTCTAAAGGAGTTCGGGCTATGCCTATCTATGCATTACCAGTTCCAGGGTATTGGAGCACATTCTCACAGTTTCTTGGCATGTGGTTATATGCATCAACAAAGGAACAAACTTGATGATGATATATCTTTTGCAAAGATAGATGGCCAAGATTCCGGAATCACCCCATGTGCTGGTTGTATGGTTTGTGTGAGTTATAGCATATCTTTGGTTGCTGAAGGGGAATGTATGAAGGAACATATTGAGAGTAGTGAGGAGTTTGAGTTTGAGATTGGATGCGGTGCTGTTTTTCCTCTTCTAGAGGCAGCTGTTATGCAGATGTCTGTTGGTCAGTCTTCATGGATTAATATGGAGTTGCCTCCAGATGAGTTCATTCTTGGTGCAGCTGGTGATTCTGCAACGATTGTGACACTATTGTCTACAGGTGTGTTAAAATTTGAAAGCTCAAATTTACTATCTTTCTTTGGATATGGTTTTCGACGTGTATGCTATTTTTAGAAGGTTGTGCACGACAATGTATTGTTAATATTGTTTTTATGGAACAAGATGACTGGACTTGATTTCTGGACCTCACAAATTAACTTGTACTCCCTCCGTCCCGCTATGATTGTCCCATTTTACCATTTCGATCTGTCCCACTAAGATTGTCTCATACCTTATTTGGTAAAGTTTGAGTGGTTATAAATCATTTCTATTTTATTCTTACTTTATCAATTCAATATCAACCACATAAACACACTTTTATTAATAACCGTGCCACCTTCTCTTGTCCCAAACTTAGGGGGACGGAGGTAGTATGTCATTATTTGCAGTAATCTTTCCCTTTTTCTTGACAGGAATGTGCTTTGTGGAGTGTATCATAACTTTGCTGCAGGTGACGGTACCTCCAGAGGACAGAATGGAACTGGCTTTCTTTAAACCTCCTTTATCAAAACAACGTGTTGAGTATGCATTGCAACACATCCGGCAATCATGTGCTGCCTCTTTGGTAAGGGTTTCATAGTGATTTTGATCTCTTGAATCAAAAGTATATTGAGCTTAAAATTTGGTTGCATGCAGGTTGATTTGGGTTGTGGTTCTGGAAGTTTATTGGATTCTTTGTTAGAATATCCAACGTCTTTGGAAAAAATTGTTGGTGTTGATCTTTCCCATAAAGGTCTTGCGCGTGCAGCAAAGGTCTGAATCATTTTATACTGGTCCTGCTTCACGATTTTGCCATTAAACCCAAGCTTTTGTTGTTAGCAATTGTGCTTAATGTATGTAGAGTTGTACTTTATGAATTCGCATCATCATCATTAGCACTACCTTAGTTGAACTAAGTTGGTATTGGTGACAACATGAAATTGATAGTGCTGATTAAGTTTATGAAGTTACTCCATAACACTATAAGTTCAAATCATATTGACATCGATTTATGCCAAATACCGTTGCACTGCAACTTTCTAAAGAAAGAATAATGACATCGAATTCCAAAACCGTTAACATCATTGGTATTTTGAATTTTCATGGAAAATCTCATGATATAAGAGTAAGTTGAACTCAGAAAATGAGTTGGAAAGTGCAAATAGGCTTGTTGACTTACATGTAAGTTGTACACTTGTACCTTACCAAAATTTAATGTCGCTTTGTCAAACAAGAGATATTTGGGGATGAAGCAGTACTTATATGAGCTTGATGCAGTTTAACTTGAAGAGAAAATTGTTTGATAAAAATGTGAATTAGGTGCGGGAGTCGGGGCAAAATTCAGCTAGAACTGAAGATTTGCAATATGAATACATAGCATCATTTTTTGCTGCATGTATATGATAATAGACTTTTTGATACATGAGATTGTAAGATGCATGTAATGAAAGTCTTCTCTGTTTAAAGTTTCATCTAATCCTATGTATGGTCTGTTACAAACTCATTTTTCCTCTTAACCTTTTACAATGCAGATACTCCATCAAAAACTAAGTGCAAGTATGGATACTGAACTATCATCTAAGAAAGTCAAGTCTGCTGTCCTATTTTATGGTTCCATAACAGACTTCGATTCTCGCTTGTACGGGTTTGACATTGCAACCTGCTTGGAGGTAACGAGATAATGTAATTTATAGTTGTCTTACTTCTTTTTATTCTTTCAGCCAGTTGCCATGTAGCTCTTTGGCAGGATGCACATAGTAGAAGACAGAATAGGGTGAAACCTGTAATCCGCCTAAGTTCCATCATCTCCATTGTGTCTCTGAGCTCCCAGTGCAAATTTTTTAAACCCACACACCCGGTTCTTGGTTGGATGCTCATAGCCTCATAGTAGATGATAGGCTGGAGAGTTCTATCAGTTAGGCTGGCAAGTGGCACCTGTACTCTGCCTGCATTCTATCATGCGCTTTGTATCTCTGAGCCCCCAGTCTACATTATGTTGAACCCCCCAATGAAAAAAATCAAAAGAAAAATTACTTAACTATATTTTCTTATAAATGTATAACAATCAACAAATGGATCATATATCTCTTTAACACAGAGAAATATAGTAATGTATTTTTTCTAAGTTTTGGTAAGCTGCAATTGCCACAAATAATGAACCATACTCATATATTTAACATGTGTTTGTTGGTATATCTAAAATTATTCTTTTATCAGGGCAAATGAAATGTTTGAGATATGAATTTCTGTGTCACTGGACACATGCACATTATACCTATATGTTGATTTAGGCATTAAATATATAATTTTCACTTTCCTATATTGAATAAGTTTTTTCCCTTGCAAATATATCATTTTTTTTGTTTTAGGTCCTTCTAAAGTTAATTACTACCTCCGTCCCACTAACATCGGGACAAGAGGAGGAGGTGCAATTATTAAGAAAAGTGGATTTATATAGTTTAATATTGAATTAATAAAGTAAGAATAAAGTAAGAATGATTTAGAACCACACAAACTTTACCAAATTTGGTATGAGATAATCTTTGTGGGACGGACCGAAAAGGAAAGATGAGACAATCTTAGAGGGAGTACTTTTTATTTTTTCATCCATGCAAATCATACCTATTTCGTTGTAGTCCCTATCTTACTTTGCCTTCCTTAGCTAAAACTACCGGATGTGGCTCACCAGACTTCAGTCTTGGTTTTCCATGCCATTCCTTTGCTAGTCCACTTTTCATGTTTATCGATGCACAACTTTGATCACTAGTATATTTAATTCTCTATTAGCAAAAATTCTAAAAAATCAGTTTTTGAAAATTTATGATGAGACAAATTTTACAATATATTTTTTAAAAATAATTTATTAATACATTAATAAATAAAATAATGTATTGATAATTTAATAATACATTAATAAATTGAGTAGAACATGTGAATAGTGTAAAATTCAACATGTTGCACTTATTTAAGAACGGAGTATAAGGTATGTTGGATTGTTCCTAAATATAAGTCATTTATATAATATCAATGACATTTTAGTTTGTTTTTCTACAATTGTATCTAAAATTTGAAGTTCTTAATTCTTATGAAGGACAACAGCGTAATATTCACTCCGTCTCTTATAACTTTGCCATCTTTCCTTTTTTGGATGTCCCCAAAACTTTGTCACTTTCTCTTTTAATTAATGAATTTGTGGTTCATGTTATTTCTCTCTCCTCGCAATAATAAAGAAGAGTAGCGAAGGGGAAAGTATGAGTAGGGGTTGGGGGTGATAAACAGGCATTAGTTTTAATTCACCGCATTTTATTCCCATGAATACTATTGTTAGTTCAGATTATTTTTATGAACATTCTCAATAGGGATTATTATTGTAGAATCACTGAAAGTAGGGATTACAAGATGATACGTTGACATAGATAAGCTTTAAATGATTAGTAATTTACAAGATAATTATTGATAATTATGTCTTGATAATATATGGCAACATATTGTACATTATGTCTTGATATAGCAACATGCACTATTATTTTGCAAAGAACATTGACTGGTTTTCCATATTTTAGTTATAAAGGCACACACTTGAGAGAATATTTGATAAATTCCAAGGATTATTAACAAGAAAAGTCGTAGGAACATTATAAAATATGTTGATCTTTCTTTGGAGTTCCTTGTTTGTGTGAGACGTCCTAAAATGCATATTGTTTTATGATGTTTTATACTCCGTATCTTTTTGTGCCTTTATCTTCTATTTTTAGTTATATCCTGGAAATGCACGTCTCTTTTCCAATTTTTTCCCACATATATAGATTTGTTATGTTGGACATTTGGTGACTGTTAGGTTATTGAGCACATGGAAGAAGATCAGGCGTGTATATTCGGGGATGTTGTACTTCACTCTTTTCGTCCAAGCATTCTCATCGTCTCGACCCCAAATTACGAGTACAATACAATTCTCAAGAGATCTGCACTTCAAAATGGGGAGGAAGAGGACCAGGGGATGTTTAAATTCCGGAACCATGACCACAAATTTGAGTGGACAAGAGAGCAATTTCGCCACTGGGCAACCGACCTGGCTCTAAGGCATAACTATGGTGTTGAATTCAGTGGTGTTGGTGGGGAGGCTGATAAAGAACCAGGGTTTGCCTCCCAAATAGCTGTCTTTAGAAATAGAAATGATGCTATTTTGACAACAGATGCTGCTGAAAAGTATGAAGTTGTATGGGAATGGAATAGGGACGGCAATTCATCTTCTGCATTCTAAGAGAATCTTTGTACTTGGGATCTCTTCTTTTTTTGCTTCATTTTGGTTGACCATAATGTATGGAAAGTTTGCTCATTTGACATTTGCCTAGACTCAAGCAGCGCTTGTTTAAAAATAGACAGGAAAATTTGCTCATTTGACATTTGCCTAGATTCTTTTTTTTTTTCCGTTGAGCTAGTATATCTAACTTCTTAGCCACTCTGCCCCAATTTTCCTCCCAAATATTCACCATTTTAGAATGTTCAATGTTCAATTGAATATTATTATATATATGCAGAATTTAAAAACGGGTACCACCCGTTTAAGAAGTGCCAGTTTGGTCGAATGTTGATAGCATTACCAATGGGTGCAAATAGTTTATAGTTTTTCCTAATTCTCTTTCAAAAAATGGAAGTTCCTCACAAAAATATCATTCATCTAATTTCCCACTCATAACCTATCTCTTACATATATAAAATCATATAAAGTTCTTACAAACATGGATTAACCTATTACACGCATTGTTACGCCCTCTCCACTTGAGTGCCAACTGCCAAGCGTAGCACAATCATCGTTGTTGTTAGAAAGGTGGTAATCTTATGCACACACCCAATGCATGATTAACGTGTGCATGTCCTCGTCACTAGTAGTGGTGTGTCGTGTGGATCAGCTACCGTCACTTCCTTGTAATCAGCTACAGATTTAGGATGTTTTTAATTGATCTGAAACTTATATTTATTCACTCATATTTACTAAAACACTAGATTTAAATTTATTGGTGATAATTCCGGTATCCATTTTCTTCCATCATTTGCAATGGAGTCAAAGATTCATTATTTTTTTGATTTGAGAATATGATGGAATAAAGCAAAATTACTCACTAAACTATTTGCGCTTCTTTATTATGAAGCAGCAGTTAGTCCATGCAATTTTGGACGCGATTTTCAATATGGGTCATTCGGAAACAGTCTCTCTGTGCTTTAGTGCAGAGGTAAGATTGCGTACATCCAACCCCCCTTACCCCACCGTAGATGGGAGCCTTTGCGGCAATGAGGTATGATACCATAGCATCTACCAGGGGCGGATGTACGTGTGTTTCAATGGGGGCACATGCCCCCAACAAAATTTGAGCTATTAGTGTTAATATATTAGATACATGTCGTATTTTAGTATAAAAAGTGAAAGTGCCCCCAATGAAAAATAATAGTGCCCCCAACTCTAATTTTACAAGTAGTGAAACAATTCTCACAAGGCCAATTTTCAAAAACAACTAACGAATTGAAAAATTTTCATGGCTGCTTTTTGTTAGTCTTTATTTGTTTTTACGGAGTAAGTATTTTACTTTTGTAAATTTTACAAGACTTAAGTTATTATGAGAGTGACGGCGGATTTTGGGGCCCTTCCCAGAGGAATCTTTTAATGTTATGGCATGTGCTTGATCAATCTAGTTTATCAACACAAAAAATCAGCCAAAAACACAGTTATCATTTGACAACTTTCCCGATTGAATTTTTAGCTAAATTTTTTTGTGGATAAACTAGACTTGATGAAGAACAAGTCATAAAATTTTCATCACAAAATGCACCGGGACGGCAGCATTCCTGTCCGGAATTCCGGACATGAACTATTCTCTTGAATAATATTTGTTTCAATCTATTAAATTATGCCCCCAATAACATCTCTTTCTGGATCCGCCACTGGCATCTACCAAATTTATATCTATTCACTTGTTCTTTTCAAGGAATGCTATTACATTTAGCCTTGAATGAGGTGGTACCTTAACTTTCCAACTTATATATATCTTTAAATATTATTATATTTAAACACAACAATTCGTTAAATTATACTTTCTTACTACTGTGTTGCACAAAAAATTTAAAAATACTTAAAGAGAATAACTTGTTAAAAATGTGACATTTCTTTAGTATTGTACTCCGTACTACTTAAGAAAAAAGAGAGTATTGAATTGGTTTAGATTTTTTAATGCAAAGAGTTGTAAATTTGTGCGTAGTTAAGGTTTTACCATGATTCCTTTCAGTTGAATATATCTTTAATTAAGGTGGTCTTGAGCAAGTTCCCACCTGACAATTAAACAGCAAGCTCTAGGATGTAGAATCCTAATAAACAGGCACGATCATAACCAAAGTATCTGTAGTAGCTTCCTCCTAGTGTGGTGTATGTGAGTAGTGTGTAGAAAGACCTGAGCCGGAGACGGAATCCATACCTTACAGTGGTATCAGAGCCGGAGTTCGCCGTCTGCCGCCGTCCGCCGCCGCCGCCCGCCGCCGCCGTCGATTGGAGCTCGCCGAAGGTCTTGGAGCTGCCTGGTCGTTCCCACGAGCTCGCTGAGGTCTCTGTTCGCTGAAATCGAGCTCGCCGGAAGTGGAACCTCCGCCATCGCCGCCTGGAACCTCCACCATCGCCGGAGGTTGGTTTCCCTCTATCCGGAATCGCCGCCGCTGGGAACGAAGCTCGCCGTCCGGAAATATCTCGCCGCTCGCCACCACCGGTCGCCTGCCATCGCTCCTCCGTCGAAGCCACCAGCCTGCGACATTTGTGGCTCGCAGGACTGGAGCTCGCTCATCGTTGGTGTTTCTTCTCTCGCGGAGAAGCTGAAACGAAGGCGCTGGGAGTGCTGTAGAAGGGCCGCTGGTCAAGCTCGAGCTTAGGAAAATTTTGGGCCGGTTTCTTCTTTTGGGCCTCTGGACTGGAGTTGCTGGCTACTGGAAGATGAGTTGCTGCTTCTGAGCTGGAATCGGGCTAGTGGACAATTGGGTCAGTCCATTTGACTGTTGGAGCTGCTGGAAAGCTGCTGGACTTGGACTTGGACTGTTGGGCTGGATCTGTTACTGGGCTGCTAGACCTGGAGCTGGAACCAGCCAACCACCAGTCAACCGCCGGTCAACCGCCAGTCAACGGCCGGTCAACGCCGGTCAACGGCAGTCAACCCCTCCAGAAAAATCCCAAATTTTTTAAATTTGGGTAGGTAAGGTCGAAACGCTCTCCTAGGGTTTCGCGAAGGTAAGTTTTCAATAAACTTACTATTTATAGCATTTCGGCTTTAATTTAATTTAATTTATTCCCCCTCCCCGCGTGCCGCCGGTTGATTTAATCCCGGCCGCCAACCCCCCAGGTACGTTTTCTAAACTCACTCCTTTGTGGTAGTTTGTTTTTAGTTAATTAATTAAATTACTTTGTGTTATTTAATTTAATTGTTATACGCAGGGGTGTTTTATTGGGTGGTAGGGGTAGAATTAATTAAATTTAATTTTTTCTGCCTGGAATTGTTTAAATTGCCAAAATGTCCATTTTTTGCTATGTGTTGCATGCTGCCCGGGGTTATTAAAGTGAATACTTTATAACCCGGGTTGGATTATTTTCTGTCATTTCTATCTGTTTAGCTTTGTGTTCCTTTGTGGTTGATACCATGGCTGCAAATCAGTATGGTATGCTTCCATTTAATGGAAAAACAGATTTTGATATTTGGAAACAGAAAATTAAGTGTGTTTTAATACAGCAAAAAGTTTTCAGAGCTGTCACTGGTATTTTCCTAGAATCAGAAGATAAGGCTAAGCAAATTGAAATGAACGAAACTGCTTGTTCTACTATTTACTTGAATCTGTCTGATTCTGTGCTTAGGAAAGTAGGTATTCTTGAGTCTGCTAAGGAGTTGTGGGAGAAATTGGATAGTCTCTATACTGATACCTCTTTGCCCGGGAAGTTGTTCTTACTAGAGAAATTCTTTAGGTTTAGGCTTGACCTGACTAAGGATATAGATGAGAACCTGGATGTGTTTAATAAACTGATACAGAATATCAAACAGGCAGGTGATAAACACATAGACGATTACACTCCCATAGTATTACTTAATGCCATTCCCGACTCTTATAATGATGTTAAGTCCGCTATTAAGTATGGTAGGGATGAGATTTCGTTAGACATTGTTGTGAATGGGTTAAGGAGTAAGGAATTAGACCTGAAGCATGCTAGGGGTAGTGCTAGTCAGTCCAGGGACTCCGGTGAGGCTATGTTTGTTAGGGGTAGATCTAAGGGTAGGTCTAAGAACTCTAAGCAAAATAGTCAGGGTAAGAACGCCAGTCAGCCTGGGAGGAAGAGGAGTAAATCTAGGAAGAGAGTGTGTTACAATTGTGGTAACACTGGCCATTTCATTAAGGATTGCCCCCACCCTAAGAAGACCGAGCATGCTAGTGTAGCTGTTGATAAATGTGACCTTGGTGATATCTTGATGGTTTGTGACCATGTTAATTCTGTGAGAAATTCCCTGTCTGAGCATGAATGGTTGATTGACTCTGGTTGTACCTATCACATGTCCCCCTTTAGAGATTTGTTTTCTACTTATGAATTATGTGATAGTGGCTACGTTTCCTTAGCTGATAATAAGAGATGCAATGTGCTTGGTGTTGGTGATATATGTCTGAAGTTTTCTTGTGGCTCTGTGTTTACCATTAAGAATGTGAGGCATGTCCCTGATTTGTGTCATAACTTGTTATCTGTTGCTGCTTTGGAGAGTAGTGGGTTACAGGGAAAATGGGGGAATGGTTGTATGAAAATCCTGAAAAACTCGCTTGTTTTGTTTAAAGCTGAGAAGGTGAATAACCTTTATGTGTGTCATGCTAAACCTTTTGTTGAGTCTGTGAATGCTGTATGTTCTGATAAGACCTCTTTGTGGCATAATAGGCTAGGACATATGAGCAATAAGGGTTTAGATGTCATGCGTAGGGCTGGTTATTTTGGTAAGGACTCTGTGACTTCTGTGCCTTTCTGTGAATCATGTGTGTTAGGCAAGCAGCATAGAGTCAGCTTCCCTCCTTCCTCTTACCCTAATCTGTCTAAGTGTTCGTCTGTGCTTGAATATGTTCATGCCGATGTTTGGGGTCCTGCCAGTGTTCCTACCCACGGGGGTAGGAAATATTTCCTTTCTATCATTGATGATTTCTCTAGGAAGGTGTGGGTTTGCCTTTTAGAACACAAGTCTGATGTGTTTGTGAGGTTTAGGGAGTGGAAAACCCTAGTTGAAAACCAAACTGGCAGGAAGGTTAAAACCCTTAGGACTGATAACGGGTTAGAGTTCTGTAATAAGGAGATGGATAAGCTGTGTGTGGATTGTGGGATAAAAAGGCACAAAACTGTGCCTTATACTCCCCAACAGAATGGGATAGCAGAGAGAATGAATAGGTCTCTGTTGGATAAGGTTAGAAGCATGTTAGCTACCTCTGGTTTGTCTAAGAAATTCTGGGGTGAAGCAGTCACTACTGCTGCCTATTTGGTAAATAGGTCCCCGTCTGTCCCTCTTGGTGGTAAGTGTCCTGAAACCGTCTTTACCGGTAAGCCTCTTGATCTGTCTAACCTTCGGGTGTTTGGTTGTGCAGCGTATGCACATCAACAGGGTGACAAGTTGGATCCTAGGTCTAAGAAGTGTGTCTTCCTAGGTTATCCAGAGGGGGTAAAGGGTTACAGGTTATGGGATAGGAACCAGGTAGGCTTTAAAGTGGTCCTTAGCAGAAATGTGGTGTTTAATGAAACTGATTTTCCTTGCTTGACCGAGTCTGCTTCTAATCCTGAGTCTAGGTCTGATAGTACTCCTAGTGAGGTGGAGTCTGTCCCTGTTGCTGCTAGTCCTTTATCTGTTGATCCTGTTATTACTGATGATATTGTTATGCATGATTCTGATTCCTCTGAGCATGATAGTCCCACCACCTCGAGTGAGGTGGAGCATTTGCATGATACTGAGCATGATTTGCATGATATGGGTGCTGAATCTGATTTTCATGATAACAATAATTTGCATGAGTTGCATGTGGAGCCTAGTAGTGATAATTTGCATGATTATCAACTTGCTAGAGATAGGAGTAGAAGGGCTATCAGGAGAACTGCTGATAGTATGCCTGATTATGCTTTCATTGTGCATGATACTTCTATGTTTGCATTTTCTGTGTTTGAATCCCTAGAGCTGAATGAACCCAAGACCTACCGTGAAGCCTTAGGTTCCAAAGAGTCTCAGAAATGGATTAATGCCATGAAAAGTGAGATGGACTCTTTGAGAGTGAACCAGACTTGGACCCTTGTACCTAGACCTCCCAACTGTTCCGTAGTTGAGTGTAAGTGGTTGTTTAAGGTTAAGGAAGAACCTAGTGATGTTAGGTTTAAGGCTAGGTTGGTTGCGAAGGGGTTTACTCAAAAAGAGGGGGTAGATTATGCAGAAATCTTTGCTCCTGTTGTTAAATTCACCACTATTCGTATGATGCTTGCTTTAGTTGCTCACCATGACTGGGAAATGAAACAAATGGATGTAACTACTGCATTTTTGCATGGTGAATTGGATAAAACAATTTATATGACCCAGCCTGAGGGCTTTGTGGATCCCAAGAGAAGTGAGCATGTCTGTTTGCTTAGGAAGGCTTTGTATGGCCTGAAGCAATCCCCTAGGCAGTGGAACATCAAATTTGATAAATGCATGATATCTTTGAAGTTCCAAAAATCTGTTTGTGATCATTGCCTGTATTTCAAGAATACTTCCTCTGTGCCTGTATTTTTGTTACTCTATGTGGATGACATGCTGATAATTAGTCCTTCTCTGAATGCTATTAAAGATGTGCAGAAATGTCTTTGTGCGAATTTTGCCATGAAAGACCTAGGTGATGCCAAGAGGATCCTAGGCATAAACATTGTAAGGGATAGGAGTAAGCGTACTCTTACTTTGAATCAGATTTCTTACATAGAAAAAGTTTTGAGTAAATTTAATATGTTATCTGCTTCTCCTGTTAATGTCCCTATGGCATCTCACTTTGTGTTAAGTAAGGACCAGTCTCCCAAGACTGCTCCTGAAATTGAGAAAATGAAATCTGTGCCTTATTCCAGCGCAATAGGGTCGGTGATGTATCTTATGGTTAGCACTAGACCTGATATTGCATATGCGGTTAGTTGCTTGAGTAGATATATGTCCAACCCTGGTTTGCCTCATTGGAATGCTCTTAAGTGGTTGCTTAGATATCTGATTTCTACTGTGAAGCATGGATTAATTTTCTCTAAGTGTGCTAGTGGTATTGAATTGATTGGTTATGTTGATTCTAACTATGCAAATGATAGAGATAACAGGAAGTCGACCACTTCTTATGTTTTTACTTTATGTGGCTCTTGCATTAGTTGGAAGTCTCAACTACAGCCTATTGTGGCCCTTTCTACCACTGAGTCCGAGTATGTTGCAGCCACAGAAGCGTTTAAGGAAGCCATCTGGCTCAAACGCCTTGTCTCCGAAATTGGGTTTCTCAAAAAGGGAGTTACCATTTTCTCGGATAGCCAATCGGCTATCCAACTTTGCAAAAATCCTGTATTTCATGATAGAACTAAGCATATTGATGTTAGGTTCCATTTCATACGTGATATTGTTGATGCAGGTGGAGTCAAGCTGTGCAAGATCCCGTCGGAGTTTAACCCCGCGGATATGGGTACCAAGTGTCTTTCTGCTGAGAAGCACTTGTCCTGTAAACGCGTGTTAAACTTTGATTGTGGATAACTGTGGGTTGCCTAATAAAGTGTTTGCCCGTTGTGTCTGTTGATATTCCGGGTGACCCGGCGATGATGAGTCTTGTCACAACCTTGTATTGTTACTCTACACCACCTAGGACCAATAAGGTGGAGAATGTTGGAGGTATTGGTCCTACCAAGGCCTCCCTTCCACTTTATTTGTTGAGGCTTGCACCCTATTGTTTTACTCCCACTTTGGTACCTTTACCTTGGTATTTTATCTGATCAATAATATACCTGTTTGAGGGTTGACTTACCCACTTGGCTGGCCCCTCTGTGTTCTGTCCGCTGCATCACTTTGTCTTGGCCTATACATGTGACTCTCCTTTGTATTGGTAGCATGTGATTGTCTTTTGTCTAGCATCACCCGTGAACCCCCTTGGCAGCCTATTTGAAGTCCTTGCTTCTTCCCTTGTTGAAGTAGCCTGCGTGAGTGTTCTATTGAGAGCAGTGCTCCCTACTTCTATGTTTGCATTTTCTGTGTTTGAATCCCTAGAGCTGAATGAACCCAAGACCTACCGTGAAGCCTTAGGTTCCAAAGAGTCTCAGAAATGGATTAATGCCATGAAAAGTGAGATGGACTCTTTGAGAGTGAACCAGACTTGGACCCTTGTACCTAGACCTCCCAACTGTTCCGTAGTTGAGTGTAAGTGGTTGTTTAAGGTTAAGGAAGAACCTAGTGATGTTAGGTTTAAGGCTAGGTTGGTTGCGAAGGGGTTTACTCAAAAAGAGGGGGTAGATTATGCAGAAATCTTTGCTCCTGTTGTTAAATTCACCACTATTTAACAACAGGAGCAAAGATTTCTGCATAATCTAGAGTGGAGAGAGGTCCTAAGTGGAGAGTCAAAAATAGAGTTGTGTAGTAGCTTCCTCCTAGTGTGGTGTATGTGAGTAGTGTGTAGAAAGACCTGAGCCGGAGACGGAATCCATACCTTACAGTATCTCTTTAATTTTCCACCATTCTTATTAGTTAACTAAATAAGAAAAGTTTTCCTTAAGACTGGGTTCCCAATGAGTGTTCTCCTTAGCCAGTTCAATGAGTGTTCTCTAAACAAGTTTAATACTCCGTATGTATTGGATGAGTCTTCCCATCCCGAAAGGTACAAACTCTACAGTACAAAGACATTAATCTCAAGTGATGAACAACCAAGATCACACTAATTAAAGTGTACCTAATCAAGACTGAGGCTGTTAATTTGAATAAACATAATAAAATTACGTTTGGATACGATCTAGTTCAGAACATGCAAACAAAAGTGTAATAAGACTATTAATTTGAACGTGTCTATCTATATACACACGCATGTATATGTTCAAATGAGGAATGCACCTAATGTGAGATTTCAAAATGAATATGAACCATTAAGATTTGACAATTTTTGCATTAAAACAGATTCATGTTGCACCAAGAGATGTACCGAATAAAATTTTGAAATAATGACCCCGATATTACACCCCATGTTTTCAAACACAAAAATATGATTCTTTTTTATTTCCCAATAAACTGACCCAAAATACTCACGCCCGTCAATCTTCCCCTACGCCGTCTCGCGTTCTCTCTTCTCCCACAGAGCGTTCCGTCGCCAAACTCCATAGAGCTCTCCTTCTCTCCGCTCTTATCCTACCCCCTTCACCGATTGACTAAGATCTCTGTCTCCATATCCCCACAGAGCTCTGACTTCTATTTCTTCTATTTTTGTCCGACTGTGGGAGATGCGAACGACCGTCCCCTTCGCCATTGTTGAGCAGTGACGACGCTATGGAGTTGTTTAGGATTGACCTTTCTATGGAGCACTTCATCATTGTCCTAGATGGATCCTGGAACAGTTACATTTCCAGATCTGGTGGCCAGCGGCTAGGGTTGGGCGAAACAGCGAAGGCGCGATTGGTACATCTACGACATGTGGAGGACAGCGTTGGGCTCACCAAGTTCAATGTCGTGCTCAAGGCAATAGATCTCCCAACATGATCGCCTAGGGGTGGGCGCGGTCCGGAACGGTTTGGGAAATTAGTAAACCCCGTAATGTATCCGTGGGGTTTTCTAACGGTCCGATACGGTCCGGTTCTAAGGATGGAACCATTCGGTACCGTGTCGTTTCGGAACGGTACAAAACGGTACGGTACAATGCCAAACACATGCTAAAAAATTAGACAAATCTTGCAATTAATAGATATCATAACATCAACCAACTCACATGAAATTGCGATATAAATACAAGAAATTGCATACGTAGTACTAAATTTCACAAACACACAAATAGTGCAACATAACTAAGAAAAAGTAGAGCAAAAGATGATACATGAGATAAATATCATCTTAAATTTACTAAGTCCATGTGAAAATATAAAAAGAATATCATCAAATTGTTGAATGTAATAGAAAAATTAATCGTTCTTCTTCTTTGTTCTTGGTAAAATATTAGTTCTAATTTAATTTATAGTTGAATGTGAGAAATAAGTTTTAAACCATATTAATTAAGTTGTAAAATTGTGCAAACATGATACTACAATAAGTCATATACACTTAATTACTAAAAATGAATAGTCATTAATAATTTCTAAAACTTTAACTTTCTTTCAATATACATATAAACACACATTTAGCTATTTTAGGGACACATTAATACATACTTGGGTTGGAAATTGTTGGTCTATAAAATAGATTTATTGGTGTCAAAAATATAAAAATTCAAATGTATTGTTTTTGAACGATTTCCATCATTTGCAATGGAGCCAAAGATTCATTATTTTTTGGCTTGAGAATATGATGGAATAAAGCAAAATGGCTCACTAAACTGTCTGCGCTTCTTTGTTATGAAGCAACAGTCAGTCCATGCAATTTTGGACGCGATTTTCACTATGGGTCATCCGGAAATAGTCTCTTTGTGCTTTAGTACAGGGGTAAGACTGCGTACATCCGACCCCCCTTACCCCACCGTAGGTGGGAGCCTTTGTTGCACTGGGGTAAATGAGAATGAAAATGAAAATGATTGTTTTTGAACGGTCCCGTCCGGTATTTTTCGGTTCTCAAAATCTATTACCGGTCCCGTACCCATTTCAAACGGTACGGTTTCAGTTCGGGATAAAAATCTATAGAACCGTTTAAATACCCGATATTCGGTTCGGTACCATTACGGACCGGTTCGGTAGCGGTTCGGTTCGGGTTTTATGCCCACCCCTAGAATCGCATCGCCAACATTGAATCCCGGTCTGACCGATGTGTAAGCTAATGATCTCCCTCATTTTCTCTCTTCTCTAGATTTGCAGCCTGTTGAAGTCTTTCTTTCTGAGAGTTTCTTTCAAAAAACGTCCATATTTGGGTAGTTTTTGCTTTTGATTGTGAGTTTTTTTTGAAACATAACTGATTGTGAGATTTTGTGCGGCTGTTTCTTTTGCATTTCTTATTAGACTAGCGTTTCCTCAAGCAAGGCGCGAGAGCTTTTGCCCAATGTTAAATCATGCTCCTTTTTGTAAGTGTATTATATGTGAGATTGTTGTAAGGATTTCTTATATGGTGTATTAAATTATCCTATACTTTTGATGAATTTTGTATTCAATTATATTCTCAATTTACCAACTATAGTGTGGGAAGTTTGCTTATATTTTTCAAAGTTATGTGATTCTGTGAATTGTCTATATTTTTTCTTTTAATTATCAAATACTTGTATGCATAAGGTCTTTTTAGAGTAGTGTTATCCAATATAAAAAATTATGTGGATAATGAGCTGGTATAAGTGTAGATGTACATGTTTGGGTGAACTTCGATAGTATAAAAAACTTTTCAGATTATCAGTGATAATCTATGGGGGTACATCAACTATAGGGGTACGTCATCTTCTAATAATACTCCCTCCCACCCGTCAGCAGTTGCCCAGATTTTTTTTTTAAAAAAGGAGAATTAATTATTATTAATGGCATCATTGTTCAATACATGGGAGATAAAATCAGGTGGTAAATCACTCCGTAAAGTAAGACCGCAACGCTCTAATATCCTCTGCAATGACACCCGCTAAAGAGACACTTGAGCCATTCTGAATTTCCGATATTGCCTTGATAGCATCTGATTCCACATCAATTTTGTCCCACCCTCGGTCTTTTGCCCAATTAAGGGCTTCCCGAATCCCAACTAATTCCGCTTCCCACGGGGATAATTGACCCTGCCAAGGCTTCCCAGCTCCTGCCACAAATTCCCCAAATTCATTTCGAATCAACCATCCAAGCCCAGTACAATTTTGTTTGACAGCCGCATCGATGTTTAATTTTAGCCTCCCAGACAATGGCCTTTTCCAAACAGCAGCGCTTCCTATAGTCGGTCTTTCACGCGGCTGAGCCCCCTGCTGCACTGAAACCCAACTTTCAACAAAAGTCTTTGCCCTTACTAAAATCAGTTTGTTTCCTGTACCAACTCCTTTCCAAATTCTATCATTCCTTTCACACCACAAACCCCAACAAGCCCACACCAATGCACGTAAGTCTTCCTAGCAGTTGCCCAGATTTAGAAAAGGGAATGTATGTATAATAATCCGGAGTATGGTCGTTCCTTTTTAATAGTCCCAATATAACAAATCGAAAACTTTGCAAATAAACTGAAAAGTAATACTCCATCCTTTTCTATTAAATTTTCTTATTATATACTTTTATAGAAATATTTCATTACATGCATCACTTTTCTATACACAAATCATATCTTCTACATAAATCTTCTACTTTTCTCACCTTTTATCACCTGTACATACATTTTTATCTTTATTTAATTTCAAGCCATTAACACTTTTTCTACATTTTTTACACTTTCAATTATATCACTTAAAATTATAATATTAATACCTTTTCATCAAAGATAGCCAAACCCTCCAAAGCCTCTACCCTAAATCTTAATACTTAAACGATAAGCTATATTATATAATGTAATAATTAAAAATAAAGAAAGTAGAAAGAAATTAAAATTACTAAAATGGGAAAATGGAAAGTTTAGATCTGTAGAAATTAGATAGCATACAATACTTTTTTGTTGTGAAAAATCTAGAAAAAAGCTCTAAATTCTTAATTTTTAATCACCATATATATACTTTCTAAAAACAAGAAAATGTAAATTTGAATAAAGAAAAATAATAAAAAATCATATATTTGTTACACAATTGAGAAAAAATGGAAAAAAAAGAAAAATGAAATTTTACCAAAAATAAGTTTAAAATTTCTAAAAACAATGTTTTGATACTCTGATTATTGGAAAATTATAAAAAATATTTCTACATATTACGAAAATTGAGAAATGATAGCTTGGGTTAATAATAATAAAAACAATTATAGTTGAGAATTGAGACTGTTTGTAGCTTATGCTTAGTTCTTATCTAAAAATGATTTGCTATACGAGGTGGTAGTTGATGTGAAACTAATTTTAGAAAATGATCTTTATAAATGGGACAACTAGCTCAAGAATAATTGATAGGTGTGGGATTATTAAACGCGGACTGACAATAGTTAAAATTATTATTATCATTTTTCCTAAACAAAAGGTAATAATGAGAAACAATGAATAATCATAAGTATTTCCAAGAGTAATGCTAATCATTAAAATTTAGTAATGCTAATCATTATATATTTTTTCGGTATATAGTGCATCTTCCTCTGGAGCAATATTTGGTTTCAATCCCTACACAACCTCTTCTAAACAATTGGCATGAACACGGGGCTGATAAACTCTTGAATAAGAGTTTTAGTAAAAAAAGCCCATAAAGTGTACACTCTTGAGCAAAATGATACTATACGGCAAGTCGGCAATGAATTCCACTCTTATGCCGTTAATCAACCCTAACTTAGTTTACTAACGTACTAACGGAAGTTAAGGGTAAAAAAGCCTTTGGAAAAGTAGGGTTCCATCTTCTAAGAGCAATGTACAACTATTCAAACACAAAATGTGTTGACACAAATCAAGGGTACTAACACTTACTCACAATTATAATGTTGTTAGATTTGATTTTGATTTTAGATTTGTGGAGATGAAATTTGCAATTAGTTTTTCAAACGTTAAATGACCGTTAACAAATGAATTTAAAAGTTTATATATTTAAATTAATTTTATTTCTTTTTATTTTTAATAAGTATTGGAAAAAGTTTTAAAAAATATATTTACGTTTATTTTAAATAATTAATAACACTATCATTTTTAAGATATCTACATTGATGCGAGTACACACATATAAATTCATTTATTTTTAGTATTAGTAATTTAAATATGATTATTTATTAGTTTTTTTAAATCCACTCCATTTAAAAAATCTACTCCATATGACTATTTATTAGTTTTTTTAAATCTACTCCATGGTTATTTAAAATAAATGTAAATTTAATTTTTGAAACCTTTGAAAGACTTAATAAAAATAAGAGAAAATAAAGTTAAGATAAATACATATGCTTTAAAATTTATATTTTTAATGGTTATTTTATGTCTTAACATTTAATCGCAAATAGTTAAGTTACTAACATTTTATTTCAAATGCTAAAGAACCCATAAGCTCTAGACATTACCAGGAGAAAAACATACTACCCGCTCACACGAAGCGGACAAAACTCTCAACCAAAGAAGACGCCGGACCAAAACAATCGAAAGTAGAAATTGAAAATGAGTGGAAGCATAGATAATCATATCTTTGATTCGATACTTCATTCACCGCCTCACTTTCGCCGATTGAAGAACAAAAAGCTCGAAAATTAGATTTTGTATAAAGTGGGGGATGGCTACCTAGGATTTCCCCTAGGGTCGGCCGTCTAGCGCATGGGAGTATTACTTTCAGTTTGACTTTCACGTTTGCCAATACACAACTTTGACTATGGTTATATTTAATTACGTATTAATAAACATTATAAAAAGTTGATATTCTAGATATACACATTAATAGAAATTTAATAACAATTTTTACATAATTATTTGACTATATATATTAGTAGAAAACAATGGTCAAAGTAAGATGTGTGAATAGTACAAAAAGCTTTATTGGGGAGGAAGTATATTCATAGTACATGTTATTCTTAATTTGGATGTTATTCTTAATTTGGGGAAGATGATTTGTATTAATTAAAATTATTTAATTGTTCATATATTATATTGGCACCGAAAATATTTGAACACATTTTTTTATCATCAAATCCAACAAATATATTAAATCAAAATAACGTTCGTCACATGGCTGAAAAAAGCCTTATGTCTGTTGTCCGCCCTCGAACAAGACTTAGAATATACTCCCTCCGTCCCGCTATGATTGTCCCGTTTTACCATTTCGGTCCGTCCCACTAAGATTGTCTCATACCTTATTTGGTAAAATTTGTGTGGTTCTAAATCATTCCTACTTTATTCTTACTTTATCAATTCAATATTAACCACATAAACCCACTTTTATTAATAACTGTGCCACCTTTTCTTGTCCCAAACTTAGGGGGACGGAGGTAGTATATCTCTGTAGAAGCAATAATATTCGCTGATTCTGTAATGGGCTTAACTGAGCCAATGACTAGCAAACCAAACTTCTCATCACCTAACTTAAAATCTAGAATTACTCTGCTAGGAAATAAGAACACGTCCAAAACAACATGCAATTCGAAAGAAAAACATAAACAGAATAAAACAGAATTAAAGCAGAGTTCACCCATCTTCTTCCAAACCCTAGGCTTACTTGCACTCCATGACGGCGGCTCAGGAGGGGGACGCGCCCGCCGCTCAACCGCCTCAATAGTCATGCTTTTGTATTGAATGACGATATCCTCCTTTGACAGCCCTTGCAGTTGAATTGAAACCATACTCCGCCACAGCTTATCCACCTTTTTTTGTTAACACTCGACCTTCGACCAGAAACAACAACAGAAGTCGAGTCCTGATTGCCAAAGCGCTGCATCCCTGATCCCGAACTTGCTTGTACAATCGAAATCGACCGACGACTGCTCTTCGTCGATGACAAAAGCGGAAGAAATGAAACCCTAACTCGTAGGGAGATGACCGCTAGAGAGAAAACTTTCCAATTCCTGGCCTAATACGCACTAAGCCACACGTGGAGTTTCTAAAATCATACATAAAACAACGCAAATTATACCGTACGACCGGCATACCATGCGCATGGTATGCCCGGTCTAAAACGGCATCGTTTCACAATTAAAAAAGATAGCAGAGCTTCGTTCTTATTTCAATTTCATCTTATTATTTCATCGTTCATCGCCACGGAGCTTCCCTCAAAGAGAGATGTTGATGGATCTAAATTAAAGGCAAGGTCGATCATCAATGGGGGCCTCTGGTGTGAAGGCCTTTTTTCCCCAGCAAAGAAGGGGAGATGATGTGGAATTAGGGTTCTAATCGCCGATTGAACGACGGAGGGGATTGAGAACCTTCAATATCGATGCCGGAATCGATCACCACACATCCCTGGAGTTATCAGGAACAATTAGTTGCGTGTAATCTCCAAGCATGCTTTCTATTCACCAATTGCAGATACACCAAATATGGTTGTGGAGAGCTCTCCATTTGCCAATTGCAGAAACATCAAACAGGGTTGTGGAGATGGTGTAGCTTAGGCTCCGTATATCTTTGGCGGAAGTTACATCTGTATAAAGGCCATTTACATTTGAATGGCCTAAAGTTACATTTCATATACACTAGAATTACATCTCGTTTTGGCTAAACTTACATTTTGTAACACGCGTTTTGCATTTCAATTTTCCTCAATAAGTTACATCTTGCTTACATGTTATTTACATTTTAATGTACGCAAGTTACATCTTAATATATGCGAGTTACATCACAAAACTATACAAGTTACACAACAAAACAAACCTCTGTTTTTTAATCAAAAGTGATTTTATTATTAAAAATCATTATTAATGGACCTAATATTAAAAACAAAACATATATGCACTATTTATGTAAAATAATTGGATAATTAAACTCTTTTTTTCATTAAACATGAGTTACTTTTCAGGGCATAAGTTACATATGTTGTTAACTGAAGTTACATTTGTAGCAACACGAGTTACATCTAATTATGCACAAGTTACATCATTCATTCTACTGGGATGAAAATTTAAAAAAAAAATACTGTACACGCGGGGTACTGTTCACGCGTGTACTGTTCACACGTTTTTTTTTTAAATTTGATTAAAACTACGTCGTTTTGGGGTGTGGAGCATGGTGCTCACCATGCTCCGGTTGCACGGTATAGGGACTGATAAAACAATCATAGAAAAGAATTGTTGATGTGGTGGCGACTCCGCACTGGCCACTGGTAGATTCGTGAGATTGTGAGAATATTTGACTAAATGCCCTTGAGATAAGGCATAATGCACCACTGATTACACGAGAATAAGGGATATCATTATGTCCATTAGGTAAATTAATCAATTAACGGCAGGAATATTCATCGAGGATGGAACATGGTCATCATAAAATTATGCGATCGGTCAACTACATATATAATATATGTAGGTCAATGTATTTTCCATTAAAAAACTATCATATGATAACGTACAAACTATCAAATTTCAAAATATGATCAGTAATTTGATTTTATTCATTCCTTAAACATGAATAGTAATTATTATTGTTGAAAATTATAGTCAATTGTAGCACTAATATTATCACATCAGTGTGTGGTAATGTCAAAATATAACTATACAATTTATACTCCGTATATGATGACAACAACAATTATTATTATTTTTTCAATATAATGTAGAGTCTTTTAAATTATGTTTCTACATTTATGTTTCTTTCGGGATGGGTTATTTACGTTACGGTAAAAAAAGTCCACATCAAATAGTAACGTACTTTTTAGTTTTTAATTATAAATGAGTAAAATTAGCAGATTAGATAAACCATTTTATCCATGTTCCAATATTCCATCTCTTCATTTTTCTAAAAAAATTTTAAACTTTAAATTAAGTCGTGTAGGCCAAAATTCTACACACACCGGCCAATTTTTTAGTGCTTTCAATCATTCCAAATGTTTTAGCAAGGATGTTTTGGTTTGGACTCAAATTTGTTGGTCTGGTTTGACCTGATCATATGATCTGGTCTGGTAAACGTCTGTCTCTGTGTATTTTATAACTACGCAATTAAGTCTTGCCTAGTCTGATCTGATCTGATCTAATCTGGTCAGTCTGATCTGGTCTGATAAAAAAAAGTAGATACTACGTATATACGTACTACGTAAAATATAATGATGAATAGTTGCTAGATATACCGATTTGAAATATATCCAAATCATAGTAAAAAAAGACAAAAAAACTTTAGACTTGGCCCCATTTGCCACTCCAAGTAGTCAACAGCAATATATTGTGCGCACTTGGAAAGTTCTAGATACTATCTAGCTACTTGCCTTCATAATTAATTACTCCCTCCGTCCCACTATCATTGTCCCATTTTACCATTTTGGTCCATCCCACTAAAATTGTCTCATACCTTATTTGGTAAAGTTTGTGTGGTTCTAAATCTTTCTTACTTTATTCTTACTTTATCAATTCAATATCAACCACATAAACCCACTTTTATTAATAACCGTGTCACTTTCTCTTGTCCCAAACATAGAGGGACGGAGGTAGTATGCATTAAGCGTCAATAAATAATATTTTACTATAAAATGAAATGAAATATATAATCAGAAAATCAGAGAGAGTGATTATATTATGAATACTAAGTAAAAGATGTTTTGGATGGTGTGTTTACAATGAAGGAAATATTTGTCAAGGAAGTGATTACTCAGGATGAAAGGTTTAATATTTGTCACATAATCATTATCTTTAGATATCATAATTGTGATTTTTGAATTATCTTGTTAATGATAATTGTAACTAGACAACAACACATATGCACTAGGCACATGCAGGTGTTCCTAATTAATTTATTTTAATTAATTTTCTCTATTTTCCGAAACACACCCAACATTTGAAAACATTGGATACCAATACACAAATTCTATTTTTTATTGGCAATAAACATATTAAGCAAGGTTAATGCATTGCGCGGTTTAAGCTGCGGAACTTGCTGGCCTGCCCCTTTCACCGTAACAAAAGTTATGCCTTCATAAACCACTTTGTATCCTGCTATCTGTAGAAAACAATGAACACAGCTATAAGTCAAAACACCAATATGTACATCTATAGCATTGGAACATGATAAATTAAATTGCAACTCTAATTATATTATATACGTACGTAATATATAGACATATAGTGACTTGGTAAATGCATGGTTTGAGGTCGTATAGGTGATGCTAAGAAAAAAATGGCCTTTCAAATTATGTATATGCTCATTATTAATCCCATAATTTCACTCACTTGAATGTGAGTTCCTCTAGTCAATAAATCTATTCACGTTCAGGACAGTTCCACTTGAATGTAATATTTTGTACTTAATTAAAATTTTGACGTCGTTGGCTGCTTTTCCGATCAATTTTTACTAAAAGTTATGGGCCTGTTTACTAACAGAGATATTTTCTGTTTTTTGAAAAAATTGGAAAACTGGAAATAGAAAAATTAGAAAACGTGTTTACCTATCTATTTTTCAGAAAATGAAAACTGAAACGTATCTCGCGTTTTACCTTTAAAATTGAAAACCTACTTTTATGCGTTTTCACAATTTAGAAAACACGCGGCTACAGTATCTTCATTTATTCGCTTACCTTCCTTCTTCCGCCTACCTCTTTATTGCCTCTTTTGCGCCTAAGCTTCTCCGCCTAACCTCTAATTTCTCGCCTCAACTGCGGCTAAGCTTCTTCCGCGGTCCGCCTACCCTCTTTACATCTCCGCCAACCCTGATGCAATTTGAAGAACATCTATCCACTTCCGTAGCTATTAAAGTCGCTGGAAAGCTTCGCCAAACACACAACTTCTCCAAACACACCGCTTCTCCAACACGCTACAGATCCTAGGTTTACTAAACACCGTCTTCCTTCTTCACATGTCAACCATGCTCCAGCTTCACCAAACAGGGAATTGTTGCTAGCAGCTGCTCCCCAACATGACGGAATCTCCCAAATCTTCGGTTGTCTCGTGTTCTGTCAACGACATCAAGGTAAGCTCTCTAATAAAATGGAATTTTCACTTTTTGTTGTTTAAAATTCGAACGTGATTGAAATGTGAAGAGCAATTGAGTTTTTTTTTGTCTCTGCGTCTTCTTCAAAGGCAATTGAGCTTTATTTTTAAATTTTTGTATGAAGAGTATTACTCTATCTGACAGAATTAGCCTTTAAACTTAGTACGGAGTATGGAACTTGTTACAAGTAGGATTATTTCACTCTATCACTTTGATGCTAATGAATGTTCTGTACATGGTATATTATTTTAATAGTTAATAATTATATACATTCCATACAAAAGTGCAATAAAATGACTTTCTTTGGCTTCTTATTAAATCCAGGAGTTGCAGAATAATTTCCTCATCTATTGCATATGTCTGCCAACTCTACACATTATGGATTTTAGTTCAACTTCACGAAGCAGTCTTTTTTAATTTCTGTCACTTTCTGCTCTAGTTTTACATTGTTTTACTCCTACTTTGGGAAATTTCCCATGTAATTTTTGTGTCATACTTTGATAACACTGCAGGACTTAGATGTTAAAGAAAATTATTGCTTTAATGAATATATTACAACAAGATATGAAAGAAGTGTTGCAGGTTTTTGTGTTTTGATGTGATCCAAAAAATCACACCCAAGTTATAAATGGATTGTAGTCAATATTATTAATTAAGTACTGTACTTTTGCTTAGTTGACAACTAAAGTAGTTAAGTAGCTTAGGACTCTGGGTTGCTGCTAACTATGGAATAATATATCGATCAACTCATCCACCTGTGTTTCAGACAGCATGGTTTTTATCTTTGGCAATTTCTACTCTCCTTAGATGATATTTTTTCTACCTGTCCATATTTTTTGGTGGTAGATGAGTTTAAATCAAGAGGAAAAGGATGATGCCATAGGAACGACCATTAATTCATGGAGTACGAGCAAGAGGATATGATATTTAACATGACGACAAGTACAAGTGAAAATGAATCACTCGAATTTGATGTCAACAACAATAAATACATGAAATGCGAGAAAGTATTGCAAATGCAATATGGGATGCTTATGATGTATGATATGGCGATGTACGACTTTTGTTCTGATTAAAATAATGTCACTTATTTGACTTTTCAGTGTTGGGGAACATTTATGTTATTTTTTAATTTGTGTCATTTCAATGTTTGTAATTGTGCAATTATTTTCTGAATATTAAGTCAACATTTTATACACAAAAAATGAAATGGAAAATTGAAAAGCTTTGGTAAACATGTTTTCTGGTTTGGAAAACAAAAAAATGGAAAACGAAAACAGAAAACTGGAGACCTGAAAACAGAAAATGAAAACAAAAAAATATCTCTGTTAGTAAACAGGCCCTATACATTCCTATTGATATATCTTGAATCTGATTACCAACTTCTTGCGAAGGTATATGGGTCTCGCTGCCCCGTCAATGAGGTTGGGGGCTAGCTAGGGGCGAAGCGCCATCTAGCCCAGAGTCCGAGGGGCAGAGGTGTCTCCGACCCCATTGTATGCGACATTCAATTAGTTTTCATCAATTTGCCCTATGGACAAGCTGAGATATTTGGGCCAGAGTCCCCAAGCAGAATGTCTGTGTACACAAACATTTGGACAGAATGTCCTGCCCTCTTTCAAACGAATTGTCTGTGTACACAGGCAATTCAGGGGGTGAGTACAAAATGGGGTACATTTTGGGGTACCTATAGAATTTTTTATTTGGGCCAAGTGTGCCTTGAGTCACTCATAACACTTTTTTTTAACCCGATAGGTAAACCATCCAAATCGGTGGGGTAAATATCGGGAAACATTCTCATGAATATACTACTATACCCTTCCATGAAGCATTATGGTCGAGTGTTTTGGAACCCTAAAACCTAACCTCCTCAATAAAATTTCGATCTCCTTATGCATGTGGATATAACCAACAAAATATAATGTTAAGACTGTGTCTATTCTTTATATTTTATGCGTTTTTTTTTTTAATTTTCCGATACCTTGGCATTTATGGTACAAATACCTTAACGAGGATAATCTTTTTAGTTACATTGCGTGTCGGGATCTATAAGTGAGTAAAATTGTAGGATAAATATAACTAATATAGTGAAAACTGTGGGGCGTGATCAATGAATCACCCGTGGCCAAGGGCGTCGCTAAGGGCCTAGTCGGCCTCTGTCCACCTCAAATTTGCGAAAAACTTTTAATTTATGCGTAAAATTTATCTAAAAAATATTAGTACCAGCCCACCAACCCAATGGTCTTAATTATATCTAATGAAGGCTAAATTACTATACCTCCTGGGAATCATTGCCCCTCCACGCATGCCACCGTGTGATAACGTTCAAGTTCATAGCATCAAGAGAATAACGTGTAGAGGTTACTGGCACATTAGCATCAACATCACCACTGCATTTAGTAGCAACTCTTGTAAAATTAGTTCTTGTTTACTTTAGAGTTAATGTTCAATTTAGTGGAGCATTAATTTTTAATTACTACATTACATGCGTACCTATAGAGATATATTTGAAGACCAGATGCAATTAACCTCTTATATATTGGGAACATTGTAGATGGTCTGTCTGTCCATTTCGAATTGACCACATCACTTCATGTACCAAATAAAGTTAAACAAAACTTGATTAGAATAGTGTTAGGAAAAGAATAGGACAAACAACAAATAAAAGAGGCAATAATAAAATGGTAAAAGGGTGTTTGGAATTGAGGAGTGTTTGGAATTGATTCTCCTATTTTTAAATACAGTAGAATGAGAATCAATTTTCTAGAAGGTGGTCTCCTTAGCTTCTCAAAAACTACTTCTAGCGTCTAGGATTATTTTGCAACACCTAGAAGTACTTCTCCAATTTCACTCAAACACTTGAATATGTGCTTCTACTCTTTGAAGCTGAGTAGTAGATTATTTTTTAAAGAAATACTACCTCCGTCTCATTCAAAGGTTCTCGTTCCCTATTCTCCGGTCAATGTAAAGTCTTCTTAATTAATTAATATTTCACTTTACATATCTAACTTTTAACAAATTTGATTTCTTTTTTGCGACTTTATAGAACTTTTAATGTGATTTCTGAATATGTAAATTTTATGTACTAAAAATAATTTTATCATATACAGAGATCAATTGACTTCATGATCAGTCAGACATCGTAAGCCGCGTGGGAACTTTTGCACGGGACGGAGGGAGTAGATTCAAACGCTCTCTGATTATGGTTGTCCTTTTTAAAGCAAAAGTAGAATGATAATAAGTTCCAACGTTTCTCTTCTAGATTGTAAAAAACTGCTTCTAATATAGAGTCATTT